GGGCGCATATATAGAGGGAGATGAAACGAGCTATAGTTCGTGCTAATCCATGTGTAACTGGGTCGTTCATCTATACAGGTCCTCATGCCTCACGGAAATCTATCAATTTCCTGCAGAATTTGTGTTGAGAATTCACAAATATAAAGTATTGGACATGTGACGGCTACTCTATAATCCTAACAATATACATGCAGTTAGGTTTGGCACATATATTAGTGGGGCAATAGATGAATCATTGCATATGATGTCGATCGAACCTCGCCCACCGCGAAAGTCTCTGCCAAACGTTTCTCGCGCCAAATTCAGTCAATTAAGTTCGGTGAATGACTAAAGCGGCATCTGAGCCTTACTCAAAATGTTTCGAACATTTGGTCGTTTTCCGTAGGTGTAAAATGCATTTCATACGTACTGAAACCCCTGCCTCTGTTTAGATTTGCTGTTTGTAAACTCTTTAGATTTATTTGCTAATCTTTTCCTTTTGAAGGTTTTCTTTGGTTCTTTGTTCGTTTGAATTACCTGTAACAGTATAAGAATAGTAAAAAAAATTTCCACAATTGATATTCTTAAGCCAGTTTCTATGACAAGAATGCTAGCTTTTGAAGTCTTATATACTTATCATACGAAAAATTGGCAAAGTACAGTACAAATTTTGCACGTCTGAGTTGGTCAACAAAGAAAATTTTTAAGTTCTTTGTATGTTTGCATGGCGATAAAATATAATAGTTTTGTTTGTTACCGTTTAATTAAATTTGAAATGACGCGAGCCAACAGATCACGACACTTTTGTATACAGGGTGTATAAAAAAAAAGGAGACCTTTAGAAATCAAGCATATTGTTAAAATTTGAATGCCTTTTCAATTGTACATATGCTAAACCGTAGGGCGTGAAATATTGATGGGGTGCATACAGGGACGCCGGAACCATGTGAAGGCAAGGGGGGCAGATTTTCGCGAAAGGGCACTTTTGAATTAATATATACTAGAGATTTCCATTTATTGGATGATAGGGGTGTAAGAGGGTTCTCCACCAGGCGATTGTGCTATTCTTGAAGCTCGATGACTGCATTTCTTGCGTTTTCTAAAGCAAATTCGTAAAGGAATTGCGCTAACATTTCTGACAATTCGCTATTTCGCTGAGGTAATCCTTTAAATTGAAAGGGCACCTTTGCCCCCCTTGCCCCTCCTGGTAAAGGGCAACGGGGGCGGCTGCCCCTCCTGCCCCCCAGTTCCGGCGTCCCTGGGTGCATACAGGGTGTCTCAAAAAAACCGCTACCCTTAGAAATTCACCATTGTTCTAATTTGAATGCCTGAACCTTGTTGAAGCCATGAATGCGTAAACATTTTCACAGGATACATATATTAAAGATCTTCGGAATTAAAATATCTTCCTTGAAAAGCGAAATTGTTTATCCTG